CCGCCCGCCCGCGCACCCCCGCGCCCCCGGCACGGCCGTCTGCGGCCGGGAGAAACGCGAGCAGCAGTGCCTTTTCCCCCCCTCTCCTCCACTTTTTTTTGTTGTTGTTGTTGCTTTCCCACGCTGGCTGAATGTGACTTGACCCCATTTCAAAAAAGTTTGACATAGTGCTTCAACATTTCCGCATTCCTCCGCGACTACAAAGGCTTCAGCCGCCTCCTTCTGCTTTCTGTCTCTGCTCTCTGTCTTCACACTCAATGAAATCCTTCATGTGCCTCTCCCGAAGCCTGCCAAGCACCGCAAGGGTCGCCACCAGCGCGGCGAGAAGAGGCCGCACCGGGGGAGCGCGGCTCCCGCGTGCGCACACGCAGATGCGCCCACGTGCACGCGGAGGGGCGCGCGGCGGCTCCCCCGCTCCTCGCAGCCGGGCGTGCGTTCTCCACGCCGGGAGTTGAAATAATTTTTTAAAAAGAAACTTGGAAACTAAAGCCAACGCGCGTCTTTGCGGGGCTTCAAGCCCGTGCACCGGCCGCTGCGTGCACTCTGGGCACACACACGTTGCACGGCCGCGGGAGCTGCCAGCAGGAAGCCTGCGAGAACGTTTATTTCTCGGTGGGGAAGATGGAGCCCACACCCACACCTCCGCAAGCTGCAGGGGGCTTTTGTGGGGAAGTAAACACGGGCCAAGGAAACACTGTCGAGCCTGGAGTCCCCCCCGGGCAGTGCATTTAAAACCCTCTCTGGATTTTGATGTGAGTGTCCGAGTGGAGCTCGGGTTCCGTTTGGAGGAACTGGGCGAGGCGGATACGTGTGGGTGTTTGGGAGGACGGCTCCGTGGGGGCCCGGCACAGGATCTGGAGTCGGGGGGGGTGCCCTATGGGGGATGGCCCCATCTCGCCGATTAGATGAGACTCCTCTCCAGCTTTGCAAGCTGGCCCGTAACCGTCCCCGCCTCTGTTCCTAAAGGGTTAACCGAAGCCACTCCAGGGACACACAGGCTCCCCCACCACCTCTCCAACCCACATCCTCACCTCCCACCCTGGCAAGCCCCCAGATGTCCCCCGGAACCCCCCACCAGGCTGCAGCCCACCCACCCGAGCCCACAGCTCCTGACCTGAGGCTCAGTCGCGTCGGGCCTCCCGAGTGGGGCGCGCGTGTCGGGACACCTCCGCACGTGTGCCCGCGCGGAGCAGGTAACCGGGCCGCGGCAGGAGCGCCCGGCACTCTCCCGGCGGGGCGAGGGGGTGGGCACAGCGGCGGAGGG